TTTGCTGATGTCCATTGGATGGGTCACTCGGGTACCGGTCCGGAACCATGACAGAATACTCATGAAGGAGATGTAATTTGAGGATATACTTTTGAACACAGTGTGCTAATCATTACTTCGTCATGATAGACCGTCGTCTCTGACTCTGGTATGTACCAATCTATCTTACCTGCATAATTTCCATTGCTTCAAACATTTACTGACTAGTATTTTCTCTAGGTGACTTTGCTTGTACGTTCTCATCTCTACAGCTTCTCGCCACCATTCCTACGATCAACCACTAATCTATAAAATTAGCCATTGCCCAATACAAGCCACAAGATGCTACTACCAACCCATCTTTGATCCTTGCCGCCTCCAAAAAGCCCGAATATGCTAAACTCATTGATACCGCTGTCGCATACGGAAAGGGAGTAGATGGTGACCTTGAAAAGAAGACTGATGCCACTCTCGATCGTCTTCTCGTCGAGTTCGGTAAAGAAATCTTAAAGGTCGTTCCAGGAAAGGTTTCAACTGAGGTTGATGCTCGTTTCTCTTTCGACACCAAGGCCACTATTAACAAGGCTCTCCGAATTATCGATGTATGTTAGACACTTGATGACCCCTCATTTTGAGGATAATTGTACCTCAATTGAAATCGAATTGACACTAACATATGTGTCCTATACAGCTTTACAAATCAGAGGGTATTGACAAGTCCCGCATTTTGATCAAGATTGCTTCCACTTGGGAAGGTATACAAGCCGCCCGTATCCTCCAACGCGATCACGGAATTAACTGCAACCTTACCCTCCTCTTCTCCAAATCCCAAGCCGTTGCTTGTGCCGAAGCCGGTGCTTTCCTCATCTCCCCATTCGTCGGTCGTATCCTCGATTGGTACAAGGCATCTACTGGAAAGACCTACTCCGCTCAAGAAGACCCCAGGTGTCGAATCCGTTAAGGCTATCTTCGACTACTACAAGAAATTCGGATACAAGACCATTGTTATGGGAGCTTCCTTCCGTAACATTGGTGAAATCACCGAACTTGCTGGATGTGATTACCTTACCATCTCACCAAACTTATTGGAGGAGTTGAAAAACTCCACCGAGGCCGTCCCCAAGAAGTTGGTCGCTGAGAACGCTAGCAGTTTGGATATCGAGAAATTGACCTACATCGATGATGAACCTGAATTCAGATTTGCATTCAATGAGGATGCTATGGCGGTTGAGAAGTTAAGAGAAGGTATCAGCAAGTTTGCTGCTGATGCCGTTACCTTGAAGGATATCTTGAAGGCTAAGTTGCAATAAATTGCTTTTTGAGTCTTGGGTGGTGGTTGATAATATAGTTATTGGTTATTCATGGAGGTCAAAATTGAAAGATCGAATGATTACGATTTGTATTTACGCGCCAAAAATGAATTGAGCAAATGAATGAATTTGATGATTAATTGTTTCTCTTAGCTTTCGTGATTGTTTAGTATATAGTGTTGATATGATATATGTTTGTCAAAGGCAGGGTGTATCTAGTAGCTACCGAAAGTTTGGTTAATATTCTATAAAAAGCTGACGAGTTGATGTTGATATTGCAGCAACAAAATACACATTCAGAGCAGTAATGCAATATGATCTATCCCGTGATCAGCCATCATGGAGAGGTGAAGAGATGGACGTTTGCGGGTTTGGTAGTATGTTTTGTGTGTTGGTGTATTGGTGAGCGGGATGGAATGTGGAAGGGGTGGAGGGTTGAAAGGGGTTTTGAGAAGGGATGGATGAATGGTGGATGTTAAGATGGATAATACTGTTCAATAGCCACGATCGATCTGTATTACATGAATTTATGAACTTGCTTTCCAACGTCCAATTGTAACAAGTATAATTTAATCCGTGTAATATAATCGCCTATTGACTTCTTCCACATTTGTAATCTAATGGTTCGATCTGTAATTAATCGTTTATACGAGTCTCAAAGTATAGGAAACTATGTTTCCAGAAATATCTTTGAACTTAAAGTTCACTTCGTCTTGAGTTTGGTAGGGTCGCTGTGTAT